TTAATTCTTCTAATGCATTTAGCAAATCAAATTAGATGTCTTAAATCACCCCAAATTTTCTTATTGAAATTTGAGATATTTTGAGATATTTTGTTCAGCACATTGCTATGAACTTATGATATCAAATTCAATGTCATATGGTCATACAATGCATTGAAATTGATTTTTAAAATCCACATTTTCACCTTGAAAAATTAAATCCATGCATGATAGACAAATCAAAGTAAACTACGAATTTATTTGAGACATTTTTCTTACTATTTTCTATTACAGCATTCTAAATAAAATAAAAATTTAGAAGCTGTGAAAAGCAATGGCCAAAAGTTGTTCAATTAGACTTAAATCAACACTAAAAACATGCTCAATAGCACCCTAAGTATTTATTTAAATTAGTGAAGAGTAAATATTTTTTCATTTAAATGTTAAATATTTTTTATAAAATTAATTTCCGACTAATTCTCTAGTAAGATAGAATTTTTGGTTACAATTTCATTCAATTTGAACTCTGGAGTTTTCTTTGCAAAATCTTAACTAAATATCCATGAAATTGGCAGAGATAAAATACTAGCTGTCAAATTTGATTTAAAATGACATGGATGGGCTTTATTTCATGTCTAATCAAATGTCCATGATCATATTAGAAAAATGGATTGGCATGTCATTGCCAACCCTTTTGACTCAAACACGATTTTGTTATTGGCTAGGGTTTCCTTTCGACTATGCGTCGCCTTCGATAGTTTCTCCCGAGTAAACTCTTTCCTTGCTCCTTAATACCTGGCTTTTCTTGCGATTAGCGATTTGATGGATGGTAATCGTTTAAGTGATCATGGGTTTTTAGTGGGGAAGTTCACTTCGCGTTCTTTTAAGGATGCTCTATCCGGGGATTCTTCCCAATCGGAGTTTCACGAACTAAAAATCACTTCTTGCTAGGGTATTTCGTCTTAGTGGATTCCTTATGAAGAAATGATGGCTTTGGCTGCTCCATTTGAGTTTGCTCTTGTCGGACAATTTTTTGGCCAATGGCCACCAATTGATTCTGTCAGTAAAATTTTCTTTAATCTTAAGCTTGTGGGAGAGTTTTCTATTACATTGCTTAATGCCAAGAACATTATCATTAAGTTTTCGAATGATTTAGACTATTGTGGTGTATTCTCGTATCGATCTTACTTCGTTAGTAACTGTTACATGAAGTTATTTAGGCGGACTCCTTATTTTGACATTAACATTGAATCTCCTACTATCTCTATTTGGATTTCATTTCCCAATCTTCGTCCACATCAGTTCTCTCCTCGGATTCTACATGGCATTGGTTCTTTGCTTGGCCGACCTTTACGGATGGATAATGCCACTTCAAATGGTATAAGGCCCTTAGTTGGTCGTGTGCTTGTTGAGCTTGATGTTACCAAGAGGTATCCTGATCAAGTTTGGGTTGGTTCTAAATCTATGGGTTTTATCCAACTGGTGGAATTTGAAGAATTACATAACTATTGTGGTTATTTTAAGGTTTTGGGTCATGCGAGATTTGAATGTAATATTGTGAATCCTCATTTAGCTAATCCTATTAACAATATGGTTGGGGTGGGAGTGGTTTCGAATAAAAATTGTGATGATGTTTGTGATCCCATTAGTAAGGATGATCCTATTAGTGAGGAAAATAACTGTTATAGTATTGTTTTGCCTCAACTTGAGTAGGTTGCTCCCTTGGGGAGGGCGGTTGAGAATGATTCATTGATCCCTATTACTGGTGCTCCTCCATCCGAGCATTATGGGCTTGTTGTGTGTTGTGATGATCGTGATGTAGGTGATCATGTCTTGGTGACTTCCCCTCGGGGTGAGATTGACATTGTTAGTCCTGACATTGCTGGTCTTGTTGCTAGTAATGAGTTGTTTATTGTGGGTGATAAAGAACCTTGTAGTGTTAATATGAGGGTGGTGAATATTGATTCTAGTGAGTAGGATCCTTTTATTTCTTCTTCTGTGGTGTCTGCTGATCTGGTTGTGTTGGTCTCCTATGTGGGACTGGGCATGAATGAACATCTTTTGATGTTCCAATTGCTTTACTTTATGCTAACACTTTTAATGCTCATGTGGGCGTGAGATAGATAAAAAATATTGTGGCGCAAATTGATTGGCTTGAAGGCTGTCCATCTTCTCCTTCTGAGGGTGGTGAAAAGGAAGTGTTTGATCAGGATGACTTATTTGAATTGAATGTAAGTCGTCGTGATACTTTCATTCGGATGGATAAACGAAGAAAGAGGAAATAAAAAAAAAGCTATTTTTTGTGGTGGCTTAATGGCTGCTGTTTTGGAGCCATGGGGTGTTGGTGTTGTATTGTTTAATTTATGGCTGTTTGGTTCCTTTTGGTGGTGTCTCTTTTATTTTGTTTTATGCAGGTTGTTTTTGTGGTGCCAGTTTCTGGATCTCTGGGTTACGGCTTTGGTTGGCATTATAGCTTTGGATGTAAACAGTTGATTGTTGGGCAATTGCTGACTTCCTCCGACTCCTTGTATGTTTACTTGTGCTTAGGATGGTCTTCTTTTTGTTTTGTCTTGGATTTTGTATTTAGGTGAATTCTGAGGCTTTTAGGTTCTTTTTCAAATGTTATATTTTAGCGAGCTTTGGAGTCTTTAAGGACTTATAATTTGTTCTCTATATTAACATGTAGGCCTCTTCCGTGGGGTTTTATTAAAAAAAAAAATTCTAAAACTTTAGTAGATGTAGCTTCAAGGAGATCACAGGTAAGCATACCATTCCCTTTGCATATCATAATACCTAGGGTCTAAGATTATTACCTCCTTATGGAAATCATTTGGTGTTGGTTGAATCTATTAAAAGACCAAAGCTCTATGGGCTTCATAGAGTTGTTAGAGGAGAGAAAAAACTGAGGAAAAAGGGAAAGCACTTCTCTCCCACTCCCTCACTTTTTCTCCTTGACTCTAGCTATAAACTTAGGCTTACTAATTGGTAAGTAACTTGTTGGCTTGGGTTTTAAAAATTGTATGGTCTAATAAATTGGGATATCTTAGTCTAAGATACTCCTTGATTTGAATTTGCTTAACCCTTGTATAAATTTTAATCAGCTTACGAGGCCTTTGTTAATGGCTTGGGGTTGAGCTAATTCTATTGTTAAGGATATTTTAAGGTTTATCCTAGCCAATAGAAGCAATTAGATTAACAAAATTGAAATTGTATGACATGTAGGTCCGTGGAGATTCAAATTTCTCTATTTTGGATAACTTTGCTAAATTCTCCTAATTACATCAAACTAATAGGTCAAGTTAGTCAACTAAAATTAGACTTGATTAGTTACCGTTTGAAGAGACGGATTAAGCTAATTGGGCCAATTTGAGCAAGTATGCTTAAATGGCCTAAATGGGCCAAGTATGGGTTCCATTGGGTTAATTGAGCCAAAGAAAAAGGTCAAATAGGTTCAGTTGGGATGTGATGAACTTATTCAAATTGTTTAATTTAATAAATTTCATCAAATTAAGGCGTTGATCTCAAATATGCCAAGTCAATAATGTTTGAATTAATGTGAGCTAATTCAATTTAATTAGCTCAACCAAGGGTGAAATTTGTCAATTTGATATGCGGTTATCTTAGATCAATTGTCAGATTTAGACAAAAATGATTTGATCAATGTGTCCTAAAAGAATCAATAAAGTTAATTTGGATCAATTGAACTAATTTGTTGAGCTCAATGGGTTCAAGGGTCAATTGAGGTCAAATCAAATATGGGTAAGTACTTGGAATAAATTATAAGGGTTGGCTTGGCTCAATTCAATCAAACTTGTTTAATGACCCAAAGAATTCAAATAGGTCAAATTGGGTCAAACAAGCTACTCGGTCTAATTAAGGCCTAATTGTGCTTAGTTTATTTATGCACGACCTATTGGAATTAGTTTGAAGTTTTATGCTCAATTAATTTGGTTAATTTGAAGGCCTAGATATTATTAGTCCAAATAGATATATTTGGGCTAATCCAAGGTGAAAGTTCTAATTAAGCTAATCTAAATGTTCATTAGGCTTAATTAGATTATTTCTAACCTATTGGGACATATTGGAATGGATTCCCAATAGGTTAGCTTAATTTGCCCAAACTCTGAAGCGGACAACTCGATCAAAGGGCTTGATATATTTACTTAGGTTTGAGCATATGATCTCAAGAAAACATCATTCTCTTTTCACAAATGTACCATGCTTCCTTTCACCAATGACCACTGTCATTTACCTATTTTATATCTAAAATTTAAATAATAATTTTTCGATTCCAAAACAACAACCTTTAGAATTGAAAATTGACTAATTAGGTTAATTCTAATATTTTAATACTCAAAATTAAATCTACCAAGATGATTGGTACTATATAGAACCTAATTGTTCGAATCGAATCGATCACATTCCAATCGATTCTATAACTTTTTGACATTTCGAAATACCATTCATCAATTCGAATTTATAGATTCAGATCAAAACTCTGTATCATGTTTCTATAAGTTTTATAGATAAAAAAAAATATGTCAAGCATTATGATTAACTTTAAAGGCTTTAGATTATATTAATAATAGTACAAATTAACATATAATATATACTATTAATCTAAACATTAAACCTAAAAATTCATCATATTATTTCTCACATCACGAAAGCAAAATTATTTTCTAACTTTTACGGAAAGGTCAATTAGAGCAAATTCGTACACACATCGCATTAACAAAATTTGAATATAAGACATCTTAATTAATAATTAGTAAAAAAAGTTCATAACCAATAAATCAAATTGAGTTATGTAATGTAAATGTGTGTTAATAGAACACGGAACATGGCAATAACCGTCATTATGAATTACACGTGTCCATTCCTGCCAAGCGTTTATTATGTTGCCCTAATTTCGTAAATTACCAACGAGTCAATTTAACAAATCCGAATCGAAAGTTCCCGCCATAAGGCCAAAACGAGGAACGCCTGGCGACAAAATTGGAAACCCTCGATCAAATTAACCCGCGGGAGGAGACCCAAACCCAAAGCATCTCCTTTTCCCGCCAAAATAACCTATTTGACTGTACATCCGCTCTCTTTTCCTTCAAATTCAGTACGTCTCCCTCTCTAAATCACTCCAAGCCTCTGCAATTCTTCCATCTTTCGCTTTTTGGATCAACGCCGAAGCGATGGCGAAGACGGTGACGCCCGGAGCAATCGCGATGCTACTTTCCAACCCTTCTCCAGATTCCACCTCAGAGATTGCGGAGATCATCGTGCAAGTCGTCGATCTGAAGCCTATTGGTAGCAGCACCACCCGCTTCACGTATGAATCGGTTTTCTTTATTTATGTTTGTTTAATGTTAACTGTCAAATGCCCTTTGTTTTTTCCTTCTTGTTCCAGCTTTTGATGGGATAATGATTTCTTGTTTTATGTGAGCAACTATGTGGAGGGAATTTCTATCTCACTCCCAATTCCTTTAATTTGGTCATTGATTTTATTCTTTAATGCTCTCATGTCGAGTGGGGTTCTGCGTTATTCTGGAAAATCGTAGGATTAAATCTTCTCTAAGAATATTATATTTGTTATTTACGTATGATTTATTTCTTTGCAAGAGGAGCCGGAAGTTTTGTATTTTTTTTGATGAATTTTTGCTAGTTGCAAGCTAGCTAGGCTTTTTGAAGCTCTTTTAAAGTAAGGTTATGCGTGCATGCCTTACTTCCGAAGGTCATAATTGGCTTAAATCAAAGGAGTGCGCATAACTGCACACCTGTTATTATATATTCCATTGATTGAAATTTTCATTTGTACGATATGCAGCTTCATGGCTAGCGATGGCAAGATGAAGATCAAGGCCATGCTACCTACCCATCTTTCCTCTGAAGTCAATTCTGGAAAACTTCAGAATCTTGGCCTCATTCGCATTCTGGATTACACATGCAATACCATCCCCAACCAAACTGATAAGTAAGTACATATTAATTGCTATGTCCTTTCATATTGTATAATACAATTTTACTAATTGTCATATTTCTTCCTAAAAATATTACTTTCCAGGGCTTTGATTGTGACAAAATGTGAAGTTGTTTCTCCTGCACTTGACTGCGAGATCAAATCTGAAGCAGAGGAGACAGCAACACTGTTAAAGCCTAAAGAGGAATCAGTGCCAAAATCTGCTGCACAAATTGTTTATGAGCAGCGTATTAAGTAAGCAAACCAATATTTCTTTTGTAGGAAGTTTATTTGCCCCCAAAATAATATGCGTTTGCTCTTCTTTTCAACTAATTGCCATGATTTACACTTTTTTTCTGAAGTTCAGGAAAAAAAAAATGGAAACATAGCAACTGTTTTTCGTTTATGACATTGTTTATATAATTATGAGTCTGAATTTTGACATTGTACAACTTAATAAATAGTGCTGCTCCGGCTGCTCGATTGTCAATGACTAGAAGGGTTCATCCTCTTTGTTCCTTGAATCCTTATCAAGGCAACTGGACCATAAAAGTAAGAGTAACGAATAAAGGCAATCTACGAACATATAAGAATGCCAAAGGCGAAGGTCAAGTCTTTAATGTAGAACTGACAGATGAAGATGTGAGTACTAAAATGAATTTAGTGCACTTTATTTGGCGGTTGTTTTGTTCGAAGAAGCTAGTACTTTACTTTATTCAAATTACATGTATTCTTGCAGGGTACCCAAATCCAGGCTACAATGTTTAATGAAGCTGCAAAGAAGTTCTACCCAAAGTTTGAGCTTGGCAAAGTATACTACATTTCGAAAGGAACTCTGAGGCTAGCAAACAGGCAGTTTAAAACGGTTCAAAATGATTATGAGATGAACTTAAATGAAAATTCTATAGTTGAAGAGGCACAAGGAGAGGGAGCTTTTATTCCAGAAACCAAATATAACTTTGTGAAGATTGACCAAGTAGGATCTTATGTTAATGGCAGGGAGGTTATAGGTATGCTATATACTGACCAAAAAAGGGAATAAATTTTCTTTCTGACTGGTTAGAACAACTAAATCAATGAATTTATGTGATAAGAGTGTTATTTTTTTTCCCTTTTAATCAGATGTTATCGGTGTGGTTCAGAATGTTTCTCCAACTGTAAGTGTTCGAAGGAAAATCAATAATGAAACGATTCCTAAGCGGGACATAACTATTGCAGATGACTCGTGAGTGGGTTTTATGTTGTCTTGATTATCTAATCCTTGTTGCTTTGTTGATTTATTTAGTACACGTTGTTCTCAATTGCAGAAACATGACAGTTGTTGTGTCTTTATGGAACGATCTTGCTACTACTCTTGGTCAGGAATTACTGGAATTAGTTGACACGGCACCCGTTGTAGCTATTAAAGCACTCAAAGTTGGAGACTTTCAAGGTATAACAAACTCTATACCGAGTTTAGAGTGCGAATTGAAAGTTGTTTTGAAGTTTTTATTTATTATTTTTAATGGCAGCACTTTTCTTATGTTTTAGGCATGGCTTTCTTTGTTGCTTGTTCTTGATTTAGTCAATAATAGAAGGTTTTTTATGGTATTGATAAAAAAATGTCATTTATTCGCATGAAAGATAATAAAAATAATAGAAGATAACATCAACTAATAGAGCTTCAGCCAGTAAGCCTGTTCTTTGTTGTAGTTTGAATAGCTAAACTATATTTTGGATGTCTTAGAAAGAAAGTTCAATTGCTTAAAAGTTGGAAATCAAATTTTTATTTCATTTTAGCTGGTTTCTCATAAATGAAAAACCCATGTATGATTATTTTTGCTTATATCAATTAATTCATATCAATGTTGAATTTTCTTTTAATCAAATTATCTTTACTAATGCAAAATTTTTGAAAACAATTTAACATGTTTTTATCAAATAATAGTCCATTTTATTTGATAATGACAAACATTACACAACATAACACAAAATAATAAAAAATAGCATTACTAAATGGATCCTCAAGCTTAATTTAGTTTGATTTAGCATCTAGGAAGTACATAGCTCAAATCAGTATGATCATGCTATTCTCTCACGTTCAGGCAATATAAATTTGACAATCTTCATTTCTCTCAAAAGTTCATGTGTTGACTCTAAACCTGATCGACTCGGTAAATGATTTCTCCAGGTGTTTCTTTGTCAACGCTGAGCAAAAGCACCCTGCAAATTAATCCAGATTTGCCCGAGACAAAAGTGCTTAGATCTTGGTGAGATAGAATTATAAAGATTATAGCGTTGTCTGTTTAAGACTGAGTTTTGTATAACATGGCAGGTATGATTCCAAAGGCAAAGATGTAACAATGGCACCAATAGCCTCCACTTTGAGTTCCATCTCAACGAAAACTGGACAGAGATCTATGTACTCCGATAGAGTTTACTTATCTCACATCACTAATGATCAAACATTGGGCCAGGAGAAGGCATGTGTTTTTTAAGCTTTGCACGAAAACATTAATGCATTGATTTTGGCTTTGTTTGAGATAGCTTTTTAACTGTTTTCTAAAGCATCTTTTTATTTTAAAAATTCATTGAACTAGAATTTTTTATACCAGAAATTTGTTTTAAAAAGCAATAAAAAAGCTATCCCAAACAAAGCCTTTATTAATGAACTGTTTTTAAGGGGAAAAAAAGAGTCTAAGCAGCATTAAATACTAACAAGTTCTAAATGATTGTCTTGTTTTTCAGCCCGTCTTCTTTAGCATAAAGGCTTATGTCAGCTTGATCAGGCCAGATCAGGCTATGTGGTATCGTGCTTGCAAGGCCTGCAACAAGAAGGTTACAGAAGCTGTTGGATCTGGATATTGGTGTGAAGCATGTCAGAAGAATGACGACCAATGCTCTTTAAGGTACTGAAATTGTGTAAAATGCAGAGTTTCTATTAGATGAAAGAGTAAAAAAAAAAAATTATATCCATTTTTTCATGGGTGCAGATATATAATGGTGATGAAGGTTTCAGATTCATCTGGTGAAGCTTGGGTTTCTGTTTTCAATGAGCATGCAGAGAAAATCATTGGATGCTCTGCTGATGAACTTTACAGGATAAAGTCTGAGGTGATTTCCTTTTAATTATAAAAAATTTTCCAATTAAGATACTAAATTTCTTGGTTTTCCTTCACATTTGCTAATGCTGTGTAGTGTTTCCGATTTTATTGAAAATAGATTGGCTGAGTATGCTTTACTTAGTAATGTAGAACCTTTTGAAGTTACTATCTTGTAAATTTGGAGCTTCAATTGTTATAATATTTGTTGCAGAGTTTATCATTGTTGAGACTCTTAAATTTACACTTGTATATATATGAGTAACAAATAAGTGTATGATATTGGAGAAAATTATTCTGTGCGGAGATCAGATGTAGAATGTTGTCTAGAGATCAATTATAATGTGCCATGATACTGAGCATTATCGAGCCGTGATGGGATGATGTGGTGCATTTTGATTGGTCTTTGTATGGTGATCGGTGTTTGTACGGAATAATTAATCTTGATATATTGAGGCATGACCCAAAATTTTCTATATTCTCAGGAGGGAGAGGAGAAATTTCAGCTCAAGCTAAAAGAAGCAACATGGATTCCTCATCTTTTCAGGGTAAGCGTCTCATTATCGGAGTATATGAATGAGAGGAGGCAAAGGATAACCGTGAGAGCTCAAGCACCTATTGATTGCTCCGCTGAAATGAGATATATGCTGGAAGAAATCTCAAAGATTTCAATCTCTTAACTTTTTATGCTGAAGCCATCAAATTAACATAATACTATCGCTCTTTGATGGAAAATTGCTATTTAGCCGTTTTGGTTTAACTTAATTATGAACTCTATTACCATTTATTGTAATATATTTTCTGGAGAAGTTGAGAACGTGCTTGCTTGCAGAGGTTTTGCTTATCAGTTGTTCTGTAGGCTTGTGAGATATTAATGTTAATGATGTGTGTGCTCCAACCAATCGAAGCAATAAAGAAATATTAAGGTGAACTTAAACAAATATTATAATATAAAATTTGAATCCAAAATCTTTTGGTTGATAGTTAAAGCTTCTAATTGATAGGCTAAGGTGAGTTTTGTTTGTTAGGTATCTCTAATAAACCTCTTAAAAATTATCTTAACTCTAAATATTTCTTGAGTTCTCACCTTGCTTGGAATTGGTTAGTTGATTAGTGATTAGTTCAACATAAATGTGCAAATTTTTGTTTTAGTACAAATGTAATTAGATAAATTTTGGTTAATATGAATTTGTTGTATTACGAGACGACATAATAATAAGATTAATCAACACAATTAAATTCCACATAACATCCAAAAGTGATGTTTCTTTTAAAATCTTTAAAAGTTGCAAATGTGTCTAAAGTTTAAATATGAATATTGATTCTCTAATATGTTAAAGTTAGATTTTTTCCCCAAGCTAAATTGCAACCTTTTATTTGTCAAACAAAATGATGATCATCTTCACATCACTAAATTCTTACTTAACCTTTGTTTATTTCGTGTCATTTGACTTATGTAATGCTCCTAATATGCTTATGAAGTTGGTTAAGCACTACTTTTCAAGCAATACATTAGAAAATTGGTGGTCTATTTTATTGGCATCCTCATTTTTACCAGTGATGAAAGTGAACATTGGGAGCATTTGAAGTATCCTATGATGCATTTAGGATTGGTATATGTAGCATCATAAGCTAAGAAAATCACCAATAGTATTCTACAATGAGAAGCTAAATGTTGTTGAATATATGCACTCTACTTATATTAGAGTTTTATTCTATGAAATATTAGGGCTTTATCTATTACATAAGAAATTTATCTTGCACACTAATCATCTTGCCTTGAACTTTATCAATACTAACCTCAAGTCAAATCATAGGCATGTTACGCAGGCGAAATTCCTATAAGATTTTTAATTAGTCCTAATGCATAAGCTCAAGAAAGATAATAAACCTACAAATACCCTATCTACCCAATTTTGATCTAATGAAAATTATACAGTGTTGATGAATAACATAGTGGCCTATGCTCAAGATTTAGGGATTGTTGCTTCATAAAAGAAAATTTTGAATTGGGGATTTTTTTCTCTTCTTTGCACCTCGATGCATCTACAAATTGCTAAAATTCCTACAAGTTTTTGTTTGGGATTGCTTTTTATTGTTTTCTAAAGCAATTTTATAATAAATTTTTCTTTTAAAAACAATGAAAAATAATGGCTATCTCAAACGAATCATTGGGTACTCTCAAGAAGTAATTTTGACAACCTAATCACCCAGCTAGGAATGCTAAACATGTATAATCCATGAGTGGGAGCAATTTAATATAATTATGTGGTGTAAATCATGAGGTATCGACTTAAGCTTCATTTGAGATGATTTTCTTATTATTTCTTAAAATAGCTTTCTAGTAAAAAATTGTACTAAATATGTATAATCCATGAGTGGCAGCTTTCTTACTGATTCATTACTGGACTTTCATATATGATCTATACGCATTTCAATATTTAAAAAATAGATTATGATTAAAAATTTTATAATTGAAATTTCTAATAATGCTTTTCATTGCTGCAATTTCTATTTTTTCATCACATAATCTATTTATAAAGGTTAATGAAGCCAATTTTATTAATTAATATCTAAGATAAAAACTATAGTAAATTACTAAATTCATTAATCTTTTATGCATTTTTAAACTTTATTCCAATCTTCATATATTAAGCTTATGAAATAAGTAAAATTATCATTATATTAATTTAAATTTATAGATGATATTCATGCTATATATAAGCAGCCTATTTTTTGGTTTTGTAATAGAATTTGGATTAAAAAATTTTCAAAATTAATAAATTTATTTTGAAACCAATATTGTATAAGAATAATTTGTATTGTATTGATTTTATAATAAATTTGATAATTGATATATCATCAAAAATTTATCTTTATTGGGCATGAATCACGAGGCAAAAATCATGCTGGAAACTTCAAAAATTAAATCTAAAATCATCTCAATTCCGATTTCAGTAAACTTACAGTCGAACTAAACGCCTCCGAAATATGAACCCCAAAGACACTAAAATCGACTCAATCTGAGCCCAAGTGAGTCCAAATCAAGGACCCAAAGTGCATTTGGAAGGTTTAATCCATAATTTGGATTAACCAACAGTTTCCAAACATGGCATGCTTATAGTCGAATCGAGCGGCTCAACGAGACAAATCCAACGACTCTAATATCATCAAAATTTGATATCATTAAGACATTCAAATACCTAATAAACAATTCATGATCAAAGGAGTCAACATCAGCCGTCCACTCAAACCACTCTTAATTTATCCTTGATCTTCATACTATTTACTGGTCATGCCACTTTCAAAAAATTATAAATAGACTCATCATTTTTTATAGAAGGAAACCCAAAGGGGGGGG